ATGAAAAGATCCTTTTGAAAAGACAATCATTTTATGCAATTAATAGGAAAGGAAGCATTTTGAGCATTTGATTTCATCTAGCTAATTTTTGTCGCATAATTATAGGCTTATATCTAGTTTTAATTCTGTAATAATTAAAATATGTTTTAAACGTGTATCTTTTTATTACCGTTGAGTATTTTACTCTACAACCTTTAATTTTTGTTAAATTAACAAAAAGTATATAACACAGCCACCTAGATTTTTTCAAATAATAAAGATTTACTGACGCAAAATCATAAAAATTAAAATATCTGGGATAATCTTTGTCTGAGGGGTAGGCAACCTAAATAATATTTTGAAGATATATCAAAACAGCTACGGTTCCGAAAACCCTAATGCCTACTGTCATTGCGGTTTTCATCTATCCGCGATTTAATTAAGATAATAGAAATACCACTTCCTTGGTTACCTAGGTCGACTCAACCTTAAATGAGTACTTGGTATTCACAATCCTGAGGTAATAACAGGCGGTTGAAGCGTAGTGCCAGCCACATTACCTTCCTTGTATACCGAACGGCTCTAGCATGGCAAGCTTTACTTTGCTACTCCCAAGGCGTTAAACGCTATGTACGGGAGCTATTATTATTATTATTAATAGAAAAATAAACACAACAAGAGACCCACAAGTTACCTACTTCTTTTAAGACCTACTGTACTTCATACTATACTGATACTCTCTTTGTAGTTGAGCCCTTTGTTGAATATTGTGGGCTGTGCGGGCCCAAGTTATCCCTGCTAATTTCCTCATATCACGATCCCATCTCAAGTTTGGTCGTTTGGTCTTCTTCTAGGTCTCTTAATTAAGAGACTGTACTTATTTAAAACTGTATTATAAATATTGTTCATCGATTGAGTATACAAACAGTCACCAACAACCAGTAAACAACAAAGACAAGCATCAAAAAGAAACTCAATCGCCATCGGAGGTTTGTTACAGCTTCTGTAAATCGTGGTAATAAAATACCTCCCAAGACAAAGGTCTATATATACGCACGCGCTTTCTTCGACACCTACATGCCCTCTATCTTTCAAAAAATCGTTCTTCGTAACCGCCTTTGCACCGCTTTTGCTGCCCACGCGACTCGTTCGCGGCGTATAGTAAGTATATCGAGCCAACAGCACACGCCAAAAGGCCGTGTTCCTTATTATTTCGATTTACTTTCGACCATTACAAGAAATAACAATAAAACTGAAACAATGGGCAGTAAATTCCAGTCAACTAGAGTCCAGAATAATGTCTATAACACTGTCGTGGGTTGGTTTCATGAAAAAAGCCTAGGTATTTCACCACTGAAAGAGAAAAAGTTAATTTTATATAAAAGACCACTGCGTAAAAACCAAATGGAAGCCAGCTTGTCAGCAGCTTTTGCAGCAGCAAAACAAATTAGGCAGAATTACTAAATCAAGCTACTCATGATTCATACTCCAAAGAAGCATTACTAGTCATACTACTCCCGCGTTGGATAGTTAAATTTACTAAACCATTTTAAATATGTAAATTTTTTTTAATGTCAAAAATTTGTGTCCTGTAACCACTATAAATACATTTTTGAAAGACACATTTTTAAATGCACATGGACATACGGAAATTCTATGAACTGTCCTCCTCACAAGAGATCACACTAAAGAAAATGATCTATAATGTGTGAAACTCTATAATCTACCCGGTTGAGTGCGCTTGGAAATTTCAAACGTCTTCTATATACATATAAGGCTTAAAGAACATAAAAACATACTCAAAGATGTTAAACAATGAAGTCTGGTATTGCAGACCATATGTGTGGTCCAAACTGGAGGTGGGCAAACATTGAACGAGTCGTTCATTTGAACGAGTATTAAAAATGAGTCGTGAGATTCGATTCACCTCTTACGTAGAATACGGTTTGTTCAATTATTGAATCGTGGCCAGCACGGATCCATAAAATTTGAGCGAATGAGTTGTAAAAAAGACTCTTTTCTACGGCTCTTTCTTTCAAAGTTTGGTGAGAATTGATTCATTGCTTACAATACGGTTTGTTCAATTGAATCGTGACCATAAAATTCAAGCGTGTCGTAAGAATTGAATCGGATTACAATGCGAATCGTTCGTTTCTACGACTTTCTCGTTCAAAGATTCGTGAGAATTGATTCATTGCTTACAATACGGTTCGTTTAAAAAATAAATATTAGAGTTATGTACTATGGGCTTGGGTACTCAAACGTTTGTAATATAAGTAATAGCAATGATAGAAATATAGATAATTAATTATTATCTTAGTAATATAAAATTTTACGTTCTATTATGCCAATTTTATATCATCATTATTTTCAGCTTCTTCAACCATTTTCAATTATGGTGTAGCCTCTCTCTCATACTATCTTTGTATATAGTTGGGCCCATTGTTGTCGATTGTTGGCTATGCGGGCCCAAGTTATCCTAATAATATCCTAATATCATGGTCCCATCTCAAGTTGGGTCTTCTTCTAGGTCTTTTAATTCCTCGTGGGTAATATGCTGTAATTTTTGTTTTCCATCTGTTGTCCGCTCTTCTTGTAGAATGAATGTAGAATGAATGTAGAATGAATGTAGGCTGTTTAGGAGGGGAGTTAATCACCGCGACCTTACAGATCTATTATGTGTTCTCCTTTCTTGAGTTATAACGAGTTATAACTCATCATACAGTCTCAGGGCTTTAACAGAAGCCAGTATCTGAGACGGCTCCACAGAGGCCAGCTCTCCATCCTCGACATCAGCCGTACCAAAGTTCATGGCACGAATGGTCGTCGTCTCGGCGTGGTGCACTCAGTGATAAGGTGTTCTGGTGTTTCCCGATTTTCCCCACAGAATCTGCATTCGCCGTTGTTTCTCAGCTTCAGCCTACTGAGGTGTTCGTTGAGGAGATAGTGCCCTGTTAGAAACTCCGTGACAATCCGAAGATTGTTTTTACTTAAATCAAGGAAAACCTTTGATTCTTGTAGTTTGTTCAAATGAAGGAATCGAAAGAGAGTATTCATTATAAGAAATTGAATCGCGTGTTTCGATTCACTGAAAATAATCGTAATTCCCACCACTAGTCCAAGCACCACAACATAAAATGAACAAAAACTCGCCAATTCTCAATAAAGAACCTCATTGGAAAAAGCGTAAATTTAAGGAAGCCGTTTTTATATCAATCTATTATAACATCTTTAGCAACCCAGTAAGAAAATTTCCAGAATATGGCAACCCTTATATATACGTAACGTACCAATGCTGGCGTTTTCGGACAATCTTACTGAACCCAACTTTCATCACGGGAGAATGCCTTGCTCTAGTATATAAGGTCTACAAATTTTGGATTTAGATAAGTTGACACTTGATAAGGATCAGTGATACATCTGATCAAAACTTTAGATAAAATTTCAAAATTTGAAGATATTTTATTTCTATGTATAAACTAAAGAAGAAAACATTCAACCAATGTAAACCACCAGTCATGACCTATCCATGCGAAACTTGGACACTTAAAACGGACATCATAAGAAAACTGCAGGTCGCACAACGCTCAATGGAACGAAATATGCTGGGAATAACCAAGAGAGACCATAAAAGAATAGAGTGGATACGACAAAAGACCCAGGTAATAGATGTCATCCGCAGAGTCAAATCCATCAAATAGCAATGGGCAGGACACCTGGTAGGATGAACGGGCAACAGATGGACCACAAAAATTTCAGCATGTTACCCACGAGAAATTAAGAGACCTAGAGGAAGACCGAAGCTAAGATGGGACCATGATATTAGGAAATTAGCAGGGATAACTTGGGCCTGCATAGCCAACAATAGACAACAATGGGCCCAACTACAAAGAGAGTATGTGAGGGACACTACACCATAATTGGAAATGGTCGAATAAGTTGAAAATGATGATGATGATGATGTATAAACTAATCATAATAATGCATTTACTATTGTCTACCACTTTCAAATAAACGTAACAACTCTATAATATGCCGGTTACTCTCAAATAAAAATACTTCTATTCTCCAAGGTTGACTCAATTAAAAATTAATTCGGTCGTGTGCTATTTCGATACGGCCCCAACAAATATCCACTGCTATGTGTCGAATCCGGGGAATTTAATAATAATAAGCTGGTTATCGTCGGAGAGACACCTAAAAAGCCGAATAAATATATCGAGGAACGCAGCCCGCGCGTTGCTCGTATCGGAGTCCCAGATAAAATATTCGTTTGTACCATTAGTGGCGAGCGGGCTGGGACAACAATGGGTACGTGGGCAGGGTATTAAATGGATTTGGCGACAGAGGGTTCTCCTCCGAGTATTTTTTCCGTCTTTGTTTTCTCTCCGACCTTAAATGGAATGGACAAGATAGCCTCCGAATGGCTTTACAAGAGAACCAGCCCGTTTTACGACCGAACCGCTACCAATTAGTTTGCCAAGATCGAACAAATGTTAAGCCAAATTGGGAAAAAAGTACCATACTGAAATGAGGAGTTTTCTGAATATTGACCAAATATGGCATTATAAATCTAATATAAATTCTGACTTCAAGAAAATTGCTCATCTCTTGGTTTAAGAATATAAAATGGTACCTTATCATCATTATTTGTTTTAATAATACAGAGTGTGCCGAACTTCATGGAATACTATACTCAACTGAAAACGATGTTACAGTAGGAAAAGAAATATTATTTTTGTTCACACACTTTCTTTTTCCTCATAGTCACGCAGATATGGCATCAAAACTACTTCACAAATAAAGCTTCAACGATATAATAATTATAGTGTATTATTTCCTTAGACTAAAACTTCATTATTTCCAATCCTACTGTGACCTTATTTTGATTCTATCAATTAGCCAATAACGTTTTGTTCATACAAAATTCGATCCACTAAAATGTATATCGTTTGATTACTAATTTTTATTACTCAATTTGTAAGATATCTATGAAGTTAACGTTATTCTTTTTGTTTCAGCGGTTTGTCAAAGCCATCTACAGACAAGGGAGTGACTCCGATATACCTCAGATGTTCAGCAGGAAAAATAAAATGGGTGTACCCACGAGGAGCGTTGCGAGTACTTTTAAGGTAGGAATTCATTTATTTAATGACTAAACCTATTCAAATAAATATATGTACGTGCATTTTAATTGCAAAAATAAAAAATTAGAATGCTTTGTTATTAACTTATATACATATCGGATCTATAATTTTTAACTTACTAAAATTTAAATAATTTAAGTTTTGGACTCTAATAACTCAAACCTCAATCTCAATCAATAATGTTGCCTCATTTTTTTTTTGTTTAATGCATTTCAAGGCTAGAGTATAACTATAATTAACAGATCAAATGACTTACCTGTAGGAAATTTGATCCTAATTACACGATCAGTTTTGTCCGAAGTACTACATAAAAGGAATACAAATAGAGTAAGTCTTGTCTTGCTGAAATCCGTGCGACATACAAAAATAAACGTGGCAACGCCGCTCCGCACCGTTTAAACAAATTTTCGTTTATCCTTTTTTACATTAAATGTAATAATTTTTTCCAGGTTACCAAATCAGGAAAGAAATTTCCGAGGCTGTATTAAAATACGCAGTACTGAAAAACCAGGACGACCAGTTGCCAGGGTGTATTTAGAAGGACCACGATCCTTGGTACCACTGTATACAGAAAACAACGGAGTAAAACCTATAAGGTATGGTAATGCTACCAAATCAGGGCCCAACTTAGACCCAGTTTTATACCTTCCAGTAAAACTTATGATAATCTAAAATCGAAACTTTAGTTTAAACTGGAAATTTTTGGTTTGAAAACCGAAAAACACACAAAATAAACAATTTTCGAACTAAACTCAATATTCATGTTGTAGTGTAACCTGAGCATATCCACCAGTAGAAGTTTAAACCGTAGACAATGGCTTAAACTTTAGATTGCGAGGAAATTTCAAGATTAACTACTACCTGAAGATTAACCAGAACTGGCCCTTAAAGTCAGTCGATTTCGTTAAACTGCAAGCTACAGTATTTGTTTTATTTTTTTGTGTCAGCAAATAATTTATATGTTATTAAGATCATGTTTTTCCTTCTAAATCATTGCATTGTATTTTTTATTATCCAGAACTGGAATATGTAGTATCAAATTATATTAAACGAAAAATATTCAGTTTAAACTTTGGATTGATTTTAAGTTTTGCTTAGAGTTGCCAACTTTTTGGACTATGAAAAAAAAAGGGGGGGGGTAAGCTGTTGATTGCGAATCGCTGATTATAAATCGTTACTTTAAAATGTTGAAAATCTCTTTTTAAAATCAAAATTGTTAAAAATAATATTGTCTATGCCAGATAATAGTATATTGCTTTATTAGGAGTAAAAATGATCATTTTTCTGGCGAGGCTGTACGTTTGACGACATTACAGACGATGCACAAAAAGTCATTTTTACTCTGGATAGAACATGCTACTTTTTTAAACTTCACAAACAATTTCAAACGTTGCAAATAATATAAAAATATTTAAAAGTAATACCCTGTAAGTAATTATATATCGAGAATGATCACTCTCGTTGAATTAAACTCTTTATGTCAGTTTAATAATATATTTTCGTACTTGTGTGCTTGGGCGATAAAGTGCTTTGCTTTTATGCCTAAGCATTAAAATGACTCTTTTGTATTGCTATCACGTCGAAAAAATTAATACTTTTGTAACGTTTTGTGACAAAAAAAACATTTATTTATAAATTTTATAACCTGTCTAATTAAATTTGGACGAAATAAATATTGCTGGCTGCTGTAGATAAATTTCTCAGGGAAAACACATAAATAAAAAGGACTTTTTAGGTCAAAAAAAGTCAAAAGGACAATTTGTTCCAAAAAAGGACTGTCCTTTACAAAAAAGGACAGGTGGCACCCTAGTTTTGCTAGAAGGTATAAAACTGGATCTTAATATTAATATAACTAAATAAAAAAAACTTAATTTAAACACAATCAATTACAAAATATAATATCATTATTTTTAGTACTTTTTATTTTACAGCGTAATAATGGACTTTAAATAATATTAATGTTTTCTTTATAGATGCTTCAATAGCAAGAAGGGCCAAGCTGCCATCTACATTGAAGCCACAGACGAGCGATCTTTTGACAGACAAGCTATAGAAATAGAGTACGATCTCCAACAACTGCCAAAGAATACCTATGGATACGATCCAAATGAAGAATGTAGACCTTGCTCCAAAGAAGAACTGGCACATATTTTCTGTACCAGCGATTTAGGTAAGATTTTGTAACATATTTTTAACTCTTAAAAATTGAGTGTTTGATGAGTGTTCTACTATGACCATTCTACACATGTTTTTGGGGCACTCATTGTTTTGGGGTCAATTTTATAATAATTGTCCACCACAGGTCAGTTCTGGTCTGATAAATGATATCGATAAGCATGGTTCGGCCATTTCTACACTAAATGTACAGGGTTGTTATAGAAAATAATAATTAATTTAGCTTAGTTTCTTGAACTGTAATATTTATAAATTATGCAGAAATTCTTGGGAATGCAGTTCAGTTTAAATAATAGACAATCATATCTATGTCATATTATATTTTTCTAATAGACATTATATCTATGTCATATTACATAACTAAATTATTAGAAAAATATAATATGTCATAGATATAATGTCTATTATTTAAACTGAACTGCATTCCCAAGAATTTCTGCATAGTTTGAAAATTATAATTAAATATACTGGGTGTCCCAATATTCCATGGACGTAGAACTACTACGTATTTTTGAAATCAATATAAGTTCATTGGATACAATTTACCTCTATACAAAAGTGCTTCGTTTGTCCGGTAGAGGGCATCAATCTTTAAAAAAAATAAACATATTTTTTTAGATATTCTAAGAACCGTTATTCCGATTTGAATGAGTCTATGTTTTGCTAAGTGCTTTAACCTCTGTCTTTCACCAAAATCAAGAAAAAGTACGGGAATGGTAAAAACTATATATACCGGGTGCGTCTCAAAAGTTAATTTTTTTCAGATAAAAAAACGAGATTTGGTATGTTAGTATATGACATAAATTAAGATTGATTGACGTATTCAATTGTTTTCGGACACTACTTGTTTCACCGGAAATGACTACAACTTTTGATTTTTAAACGACACCCTCGGTATTTTTTTACATTATTCGACAGAAAATGACACTTTGAAGAGAATGACATATCATATGTCAACTTTAGACACTTTTGCTTAAAACAAATTTGTATTTTAAATTTCAATCTAGAGTGCCATGGCTGTGTTAAAAATACTAATTTTTAATCAAGGAGCCTTGGAAAAATAGATTTGATCGTCTAATGATTTAGTGTCTTGTTCTGGTCGGTTCAAAGATGCCCAAATGGTATTTTTAATAATATCTCAGTTTTTTCAAATGGAACGAGGGTGGCTTATTAGCATATTTGGAAAAGGCATTTTTTACGAATAATTTGGTACCACACACTTGGCATTTCGAGTCAAATTGTCGTTATGAACCACATTTTGCAATTTCAAATAAACCATATTCGAAAATGTCAAAAATTTTCATATGGGATGTCATTCTATTCAGAGTGTCATTTTCTATCGAATAAAGTAACACTAATACCGAGGGTGCCATTCAAGAATCAAAAGTTGTAGTCATTTCCGGTGAAACAGGAAGTGACCGAAAACAATTGAATACGTCGAAAAATACTTCCAAAAAATGTTTTTTGTCACATCAAGCTATAAAGGCGCATACAATCTATTATGCTCTAATAATCTAGTTGGCGAAAATATAGAATTTTATGTTAGTATCACAAATTATGTTTGACAATAAGCTTCATAAAAAGCTTAAAAAGATTAATAAATTTTGAATTAATAATTGTTTTTTTTTGATTGATGACAAATGATCCCTCTAACTGACAAATGAAGCACTTTTGTATAAAGGTAAATTATGTGCACTTACTTTGATTTAAAGAATACGTAGTTGTTCTATGTCAATGGAATATTGGAATTCCCTGTATATTTTGTAGGTTTGCTTTGGAAAAATACATTTTTCAAGAATTTTTCTCTCTAAGAATTTCCTAAGAATTATTTAAACAAATACAAGATACCTACTTATAAAATGTCCAAACAATACAAGTTTTATACTTTGAATATATCTAACAACCTATCGGCTAACACTTGTATTCTTTTACAGTGACAAGAGGCACCATCCACTCCGTAGAAAACGACAGGAAAACGGAAACGTCTCAGGTATCCGTCAAAATCACCAAACTCATTCGCCACACATCGGCGGACGAGTTCTTCGAAGAGATCGAGACCAACAACGTCTACATCCCACCAACCATGCACAAGCACGTCACACTAAACGTGCCCCAACATTGCGGCATCAATCACGGTTTGGGCGAATTCGTGTTCATGGCCAGGCGAAAACTGGGGGAATTGTCGCTCCTCTGTGCCCCTAGGCTGGAGACCTGGGCTGTCTTGGTGAGCGAATTGAACGAAGGGGGTCGGTCGCACTGCGTGTTGAAAAGTTAGCAGCGCTGGAGTGTGACGTTCTCGATTTGTTGTGATTTTAATAGATTTATTTGAGAACTTTTTCGAGCTGTGATCATCCTGTATATAGGCCATTGTATATAACGATATTGAATAGTGTACATTTTATAAATACGTTTAAAGTTTTTGATTATGGTTGTAAGAAAATATATAGTTTCATTTCTAATAGAATTCCTGACAGTTTGATGTGCTTATAGTTTATTGTTTCTTCTATAGAAATGATTAAGAGAGTTCTACTAACTACAAATTGTTTATTATCGACATTATCAACATACAATGAAATACTCCAAAATACTATTTGCTTGTGAATTAAACTGACAGACACAACTGTCACTGTCAAGGATCTTGTCATTGGACAGATTATAGTTTAATATAAAAAACAACCTAATTTAATAATTAAAAAAGTTAATATTCTAAAGTTTACTATACAGGGTGGTCAGAACTGTATTCCGGAAACTTCGGCAGCATATTCTGCAGATAAAATAAGTAAAAAAAGTTCTTATAAATGATGTCCTAAAATGCCTAGTTTCGGAGATACAAGGTATAGAAGTTTCATTTTTATTTCGATTTTTCCCAAATAATTTCTGAAATAATCAATATTTGGATAAAAATTGGTGTTTGGGAGTTTTTTACATGAGAAATTTGATTTTGAAATCAATAAGACTCCTGTTTGTAGGGGGTGCCACCTGCATGTGTTTTAACTGTTTTGAAGAGTAATAACTTTTCGTCCGTACCTGTATAAAACTGCTGAGTGAAAAAATATACAATTCCGTGACTTTTTACGTAAAAAATGTCTCTTGGTAAAAATCGCTACGAGCAACCGTTGTCAAAATATTTAGAATGGAAATAGTCAATACATGTCATTATTGACAAAAAATAAACATGTTGAGTATAGTTATTTGACTGAAATAATAAATTCGGGAACATTTTATTTTTTTATATTAATCATAATTTTTTTTGTTCATCAGTAGTTTTATACAGGTACGGACGAAAAGTTATTACTATTCAAATCAGTTAAAAAATATGTACGTGGCCCTCTACAAGGAGGAGTCATGTTCACACCAAAATAAAATTTCTCATGTCAAAAAACTTCCAGACACCAATTTTAATCCAAGTATTGACGTTACTTCATAAATTATCTTGAAGAAATCGAAATAAAAATGAAACTTCTACACGCTCTGTATCTCCGAAACTAAGCATTTTTGGACATGCATCTATACGTGTATACCATGCATACAGTTCGAACCACCCTGTATACCTCTATTCAAAAATAAAATGCAATTTTTCATTTCATCTTCATGATTTTGAAAACAGAAAGATGGAGTCTTTGATTTATGGGAACATCAATAATTTAAGGAAGATTATTTCATGTCTCTTAAATATTTAGTATTTTATTCTTATTTACAGATAGCATAACAGTATGTCTTTACAAGAGGAAAACTTTTCACGAGAGGAAAAACTGTTTTATTATTGATATTTTCAGAAAAATGCATTCTGTACAACAAATTTTGCTTGTTCTAAACGTTTGATTTTTAGGACTTTTTTTAGGAAACAAACGTAAGAAATATATGCATTTTGAGCATAAAATAAATTTAGGCCTTCGTAATTATATTAATTTATGATCATATGATTCTAGTTTTAAAACAAATTGTTAACTAAAAGCTGTCAAGAAACTAATTACTATAACAGTACTAGAACTTTATTCTAACAATCATCAAAATTAAGTCTAGGATATTATAGGTATTATATTTTACTGGCTTGTTCATTACTTTGTCCAAATTTGTAAAATGAAATTAGGACAATTTCGAGTATTATTAGGAGAAACAAAAATAACACAATTAGAGATAGCAAATATGGAAAACTTATAAACAGGAAATAAATTTAGATCTCATTAAATTATAAACACAAACTAATCGATAACAATTATAAACTATAAAATTTTATATTTCATAAATGGTTGGGTCCTTTAATGGAGCTATGGTACACATTAATATAACGGTTACATTATTGAGAGTATAACTCTATATCAATTTGAAAAGCAGCTTAGATTAAAGACCTTTAATAAGCAGGCTGTTCAACAACTTCTGATATAATTTGATCGTTTTTGAGGACACTAATTATCAAATTCTTAGTAAATGGTCAGAACCCTGCGCCTTCACCTTTATTCAAAGCTGTTATACAAAATTAAGTATTTATTTTTATTCACAAACCATTTTTTTACATTTTATTCAATGAGATTTTATCAAATCATATTTGAAATAATTTTGGTACCTAATTTTTTTAAATTAAATACCCGTTTATTTTGTAATATTTAATTTTTTTATTCTAAATATGTTCTTATCCTTAAATCTATCTTTCCTGTGATCTTTATATGGTTACATATTTTCTATATTATTTTTTTTTTCGATTTTAATTTTTAGTGATTTTTTTAAATATTTTATTCTTTAATTTTGAATTTTATCTTTTCTAAATAATGGTTTTTAGGTAATACTCGAAGAGAAAAGTTGAGATATCCTGTTATAATATTATTTTTTGTTTATAAGTTATTTTAGGTGCAATATCGAACAACGATATATAATGTAAAAAAATTGTACTTATAATTATTATATGTTGCTTCTTGTGATAATAGAGATATTCATCGTCATTATTTTAATATATAAACATAAACTTTAGTATATAGAATTTTTATATACATAGTTTAAATATAAATATTATTATTTTATTTGGATACAACGCAATATAAAAAAATATTAGCTTGTATCCATGTTATTTCTTTTATCTGAATTCTATGTGCCAACTTATAATTTTCATATATTTCAGATTACTATCTCTTTCTATTTTATTGTTTTTTTTTTAGTTTTATTTGTGGTTTTATTTTTGTAAATTCTACCTTGCCATAGGCCTTATTAAAAAAAAGAGTGTATACGACCATGAATAAAATTTTTCTGTGATAATTGTGCACAAAACCATTTTATGGTAGGCAATGCCTAAATGTTTGGTCTCCGTAAGAACAATAATATAGATTATATTGTGTGCTATATAGATATAAAGATATTTTGTATATATTATATTTTTAGATTATTAAGAGTTAGTTTTATAAAAAAAGTTTTTTTTATATAAAAATTGTAAATATTAATAAAGAGTTGTTAATTCAAAGCAGAATTTTGTTTATCTAGTTATTTAAACTAATTTGCCCTTGTCCCTAATGATGGAAACTAAAAAAACAAGAAGTGGATTATGATGCTTGAAATACTTTAAATAATTATGACATATTTTGTACAGGAAATAAATACCTTAGAAAAACAATGTACAATATGTGCCAATTAGAAATGAATTGTATGGTTTACTTATACAGGGTCCGGCAACAGTGCGTCGGGCATCTGTAGCTACTAGAATAAAAAAGTTAAAAATGTTGTTTAAGTGTAAACTTAAAGTATGTATTTGGATGTATTTCAGGAAAATATGTTAACCTCTACAGGGTGGCTCAAATAAATGTGAGTGGAGAGGGATAATTTTTTTGAACGGAACACCCTGTATATTATAGCATTTTTGGCTTCCTTTCAGATCACTTTACATAATCCTACGATATGACTAATTATATTTCGATGGTTTCAGAAATATTAATAAATAAATAAAAAAGATATATTAAGTTTCAGACTTTTTAAAAAAAAATTATTAAAAATACAAGAACTGTACTGAAATCAAAACTATATTAGATATTTACTTTAGATGGTCTGTACTTACTTTGCTCTAAATATGGTAATCGTAAGTCATATAGGGTGTTCAAAATTCTACGCCAAACTTTCTAAAATATAAAATCATTTTTCTTCGTTTTTTTAAATGTGTATATTATTTTTTCAATAGATGGAGAATTAAAAAATGAACATTTTTTGTATTTAGAGTATTTCAAAATGTTTAACGGTTTCGCATATATTCGAGGTTTTATATTTCATACGGCATTTTCCACAGTAACTTTTTATCAAAGCGACCCAATGATTTTTCTCGTATTTTGCGTATTTTACCGTTGAAAGAGCCATATGAAATAATACTGCTTGTATCTGCGAAACCATTAATAATTTTGAAATACTTTAAATACAAAAAATATTCAGTTTTATCTCTCCATCTAATAAAAAAATAATATAGAGGGTGTTCCATTAAAAAAACGAAGAAAAATGATTTTATATTTTAGAAAGTTTGGCGTAGAATTTTGAACACCCTGTGTGATTTATGATTACCATATATTTAGAGCAAAGTAAGTACAGATCATCTAAAGTAAATACCTAATATAGTTTTGATTTCAGGACAGTTCTTGTATTTTTAATATTTTTTTAAAAGGCTGTAAAATATATATTTTTTATTTATTTATTAATATTTCTAAAACCTTCGCAATATAATTAGTAATATCGTAGGATTATGCAAAGTGATCTGAGGGAGCCAAAAATGCAATAATATACCCTGTATATTATTGCATATTTGGCTTCCTTTCCTAGCTCCGTTTAAAAAAAATCATCCCTCTCCACTCACACTGTTTTGAGCCTGTAGAGGTTAACAGATTTTCCTGAAATACATACTTTAGGTTTGCACTTAAACAAAATTATCAAGTTTTTTATTCTAGGAGCTACAGATGCCCGACGCACTAACGGACCCTGTATATGCTTATGTAAAACCAGTGTCAAAAAATTGTTATAAAGCCGGCGGACTGATTCTGCAGGGGCGGCAAACCGCCCTCCTAGATGCTGTCCGCCCGGGCGCCCCTAACCCACGCTACGCCACTGTGTAAAACATTAAATAATTAATTTCCAGATAAAATTGTATATTACTCTATAGGTATCTCATAAAATATTGCAAACCGAGGTACTGTATGATCGAAAAAAAAGCGGCGTCGAAGACGGCTGGGGAATGACAATCAATGATAATTTTGGCAAGATCACTAAAAATTGAAATAAAATTTTTCAAGAATAATAGGATGTTCCAATATTCCGTGATCGTAGGACTACTGCGTTATTTTTAGGATCAAAATAAGCTGACTGGGTACAATTTACCTTTATACAAAAGTGCTTCGTTTGTCTGTTCAGCGCATCAAACTTTAAAAAAATAAAATCATTTTTTATTATATTTTAAGAACCGACCTAAGTACCTGGTAGATGCACTCTTTCTCATGTTTACGTGATTCCGGTTATGTTTTTGTGAAAACAGTTTTT